ACCCCAGGTCTGAATTCTCCTGAACTTTTGGCCTCAGTTCAGGGAAGTACCTAGGCAAATGCTTTGTGGCGTGTGGACTCGAGATATGAATTTCATGACTGACTCTGTCCCTCTCAAATGGAATAAGCCAAAACTCCTGAATCAAAGGCAGGAAGGGATTTCAAAATCTGGATCCAGATCCAAATTTTATAGCTCGATCTCTACATCCAATCTCTACGTCAGTCTATTTTGCCTGACATTGGATAGATAGGAGAAAACTGTGTCTTAAGGCTAGGTCTTTCTATCAGTGATCACTTGATGTTTCAGTTCGTTTTTTATGCCTATCCACAGAAAAGTATTTGTGTTTAACGTGAGAGCGTAGAGTTTAGAGAGAGCACCATGCTGGGACTGAGTATTTGTGAGACAATGCAACAGCTGGTGCCCTCTGCTTTGGTTCTTTAACGTTCATATAAACTGTACACACAGATAAGATTAACAGCCATTCCACACCATGCAAGCTGCTCCTCACTAGCAATTCACCCCATGGTAATTCATTTTTTTTCCTGCCAAACCATGTTTTATTGCTTATGTAGATAGGAAAAACAAACTGTTATAAGTATATCAGAGAACCATGGCTCAAGCCTGGCAGATATTTAGGCTAAAACAGAATTCTCTGACATGACTACAATTTTTATTTTATTTTACTTTATTTTATATATTTATTTTTGCCTACACAGCCAAGAGCTGTCTGCATTCTATCATGTTTTGCTCAGACTTGTATTTCAAACCCATCGTTATTTCTGTTGTGCGGACAGTGAGTATACTTTCAAAAATGCCTTAGTCACAGTGACTTTCAATGAGATTTAGGCTCCTGTGTCACTTGTGAAATTGGACTTAGGTCCTTTTGATCATTTCCCCCCCCCCCGCCCCAGGCTTTAAAGGAAGATACTATTAACCGTTTGTCAACCTGGTTGTGTTGAGATGAGTTTACCACCTTGCTGTTGCCACCATAGTACAGTATCACTTCCTAAAAACACTTTCCAAACAATATTATAGCAAAATTTTCATCCATACTAAACACAGCTACCGATGGTGTTATAACCATGTCTAGCGAATTTGGTGGAGCTCTGTGTAAGGAAGAGTCTATAGCAGAGGTGATTAAGGTGGAGGTCTTGATCACCCTGCCTTTCCCATATTACTAAAGGGGAGCAGAGTTCCAGCTAGATCCTGACAAGATGGGGAAAGGATACTGCGGGGGGGGGGTCCCCGGTGTGGAAAAGATTGAGACACACTGGTGTATAGTGTAGTTCAGAAGCCCTGACCCCACAATATATTAGCATAATAATTAACAACAGCCCTCTGTGCTTATACGGCACCTTCCAGCTGCGACTCTCAAAGCCTTTTACAAACCTAATTGTCTGCTTCTCCTGGCCCCTCAAGATGCACTGTCTAAGAGAGCTCTGTCTTGAGAGATCATCTCCTCAGATTATGTTTATGGCATGAAGATCGGCTGCTAGTGCTTTGAAATGCCTATTTCAAAAAATAGATCTGCATTTCCACTCGATGCCGAGAGGCATGAGCTGTAGGAGGTTATTATAGACCTTACACAGCATAGGCCAGGACTTGAGCAACGGGTTTGTCGGCATCTCTTTATTGTGGCTCAAAGTCTGACCCCATCCGAGCCCTGCATGAACGATCATGTGGTCGACAATGTGATATCTGGTACTAGGTTAACAAATAATTAGTAATGTGCACAAAGTTTGGGGCGAAATATGGTTCCTTCTCTGGGCGCAGCCTTTTATATATTGCAGATGTGGCCTGTGCCACTCACATTTTTGTCCGGTGGTGGTGGAGGGGGTGGGATTTCAGTACAGCTGCCAGCAGGGACCACAAGGCAGTTGGGAGTTATGCCAAGATCCTGGACCCTCCATATGGATGCTCCCGCCCTCTGAGGGCCTCCCAAATTCCATGCAGCTCTGAGGTCATTTTAGTGAGTCAAATTCAATGTCTGCCCCCCAGATGGGAGCAAGATCCCACCCTCTCTGACAAAAGGAGGCTGGGTAAACTCAGCCTGTGGAAACGTGGCGTTTCCCTGCACCTTGTAAAGGGGAATCTCTTTCCAGGGGGTAGAATGGGGCCCTGGATAAGGGAAATGGATGGGCGGGGAGCATGCTCGGCTGTAAATGAAAGTAGGGGAAGGATTAACATTTTCACAGAAAGTACTCAGCCTCTCACAGGATTAGGGCCTTAGTTTTCACTCGGGCCAGCCCTTCAGGAGTAAGGATGCTGGGATCCAACCCCTGGATCTCAGGGTTTCAAGCTTGCTGTAGCAATTCCTGGCAAAAGGCTTTTCCAGTGGGCAGCGTTAACATGCTGTGTGACTTTGAAAGCACCCCTCTCCCCAGCAGCTCAGTACCATTGTGGAGCTGGCAATAGCCAATCGGAGCCAGGCCTGATTCAACGTCCAGGTGCCAACCAACTTGAACTCTCCAGCTTCCTGCAGTGAGGCAATTATTCTCTCAGACGCATTCATTGTTCTCCTTACACCATGAATGGTGACTGAATTAAACATGCACTTACCACTGCACCACAGCTGGCAGGAAAAACACACAAATGTCACACAGGGCTGGATCCTGTTCCCACTCAACTCAAGGGCAGGTTTGCCATTCACTTCAATGGAAGCAGGATCCGGGGCCACTGTACCTGATACTTTAGCAGAGGGCCAAATGCCTGCTCTTGTTTGTACCAGCATAGATCATATGTAACTCCACAGTGGCCAATGGGGGTTTCTCTGGATTTACACTATTGCAGCAGAGTCCAGAATCTGTCCCATAAATGCCCTTGGATATGTACAATCCTAAACATGTTCATTTGTGTCTTATAAATGGCACACCATTGTCAAATATGTACAACCGGGGAGAATGTTTCAAGTATAATTTTAGTCTGACATGAATAGATAAAGCACGTTGTAGCCACAACTACCATTGACTTCAGTGAGAACACTTAGGTCTTAGTACACAATGGGTCATCCCCTGTATTAAAGCAGAATAAGGCCTGCAGAGAGTTGGCTTTACCGTGTGCAATCTTATTATATAATCTTCTACGTATGCCAGAGGGAAGCCATCATGGAAAAGGACATCCTCATTCAGCCCTGCTATACAGTGCTATGTAAATAATAAAATAGCCTGATATGCTGATTGTTGGCTCGGACTGCCGGAATAGGTGTGCGTTTGTGCAGGGGGGAGGGGGGAAGGTAGAAGTGCTCATGTATTTAGGGACCAATTCTGACCACCCCAAAACTCCCATGAACTTCAAGGAATGCAGCATCAGACATGAGAGACAGATCCTCTACTGGTGTAAATCAGCATAGCTCTATTGAGCTCAGTATAGCATTAATTGAGATTGCTGGAGGATCTGGCCCATAGCATCACATTTCAGTGATGGTGACATACTACAGTGCATGGATTCTGTAGTGGGACTGTAGTTAAGCTGACACTTTGCTCTTCCATCAAAAAGCACAGATTTTCTTTTGTTGTTAAATCTCCTCTGTGTGCCCACGGGAGCTTAAAAGAAGCTGGAACAGTTCCCTAGCGTGTCGGCCGATAAATTCCTTGATTGTACGTGTTTTAAAAAGGGGACCTGGAAATCATGGCTACCTTGGTGTACAATGTCAGGATTCACCAGACAGGATTACAGAAAGGGCTTTTCTTTTAAGCGCTGGAGCTGGAAGTTTGTCTGCATTTCTGTTCTTGCACTGCATCTCCAAGGAGGTTTTTCACTTTCTAAGAAGGATGCTACCCACTGAGCTATTCATAGCAGTTAAATAAGAAAAGGGGTTAATAAAATAAATGCTAGAAAAAAGAAAATAAGATTAGAGGGACTGATGTTTTGGCTGCAAGGCCTTCTTTGGGCTGGGGGGAAAGGGGGCAAATGAACAAGATTTGTTTTCCACCATCCCAAAGAACCTCATGGCCAGACTACCACCACTAATCCAATTTTCTCTCTAACAAAGTATTTTATCAACATCACCACCTTCTTTCCCCTTCTTCTCCCAGTTGCTACACTGACATATCACTAGTTGTGTTCTTAGGGTTATGTTCTCAGTTCAGGGCTGCAGCTGTGCTGTTTCCACTGTGGCTATTATGAATAGCCTGTTAAGGAGGTTTCTTTAATTCAGGTCCTGGGTCCCCCCTTGAAAACCCACCCATGGGGGGGGGAAATGGTTACATTTATGACATCTGATTTTCTTTTCTATCCCCAGCCTTTCCCAGCCTCAGAAGAGTGTCCTTGGGGACTCAGTGTAGCACAGTTTGGCTAAGGAGCAGCTGGCACTTCCATTTAAAAATATTCCACAACACAATTTTTGTATGATCAATTATGAGCATGTTTCCCCCCCATATTCAGGGATCCCCAAACACTTTACAGTCACTAAACCTCACAACCTCCCTGCAAAGTAATATTATATCACACACCCCTGTTTTAACAGATGGGAAAATGAAGGTTGAGTTTCCTACACTTACTCCGATCAATTCAATGGAACTACCCATAAAGGATGGAAGTTTGGGTCCAGGAAAGTATCTCTACCCAGGACAGCATTTAAGTACATGCTTAAATATTTTTGTGAATTGGTGCCTAAGTGAGTTGCCCAAAGTCACGGGCTCTGAGCCAAGCCCATTTGACGTCCGTTGGATCAGGGCACAGTGGATCTATGGCAGAACCAGGAACAGAACTCCTGACTGTGTTCTGACTATTGAACTATGGCTCCATCCCTGCTGCACTCTTGGTAAGGCCAAAAGTACATTCTGATTCTCAATGTAGTAAACCTGATGCTCTGTGTTCACTATTAACAGAGCAGCTTTCATCATGTCAAAGAGCATTACAAACTGAGGGCCCAAACAAGTTAGATATAGGAATTTTTTATCGACTTCGATGGGAACTGGATCAGACCCCGAAAGTCAAGCTGCCACCAGGATCACTTCACCCAAAGTTTCTTGCATTCGTCCTTTATTAGAGCTGGTCACAAACAAAAAACATTTTTCCCATGCAGCCACTTCTGGGATGTGCCACCACACTCCCCAGCTTTGAGTAACACCATCCTCCTGCTTCAAAGCTCCAGCTGGTACGAATGGATATAATTTATCTGCATAGTTTTCAGTGATACCACATGGAGACACCAGTTCTTGGGGACCGCTGTTTATTGGTAGTGCTGATTGGCATCCTGTGTGTAGTGAACAGTGACAAGGTGAGGGCATGAGAAGCACAACATGGAACAGACCAGGAGCAAGATTGTGTCCTGTTAATGGACAGCATTATTTCAGCGCCATCCGCAGAAGCCTCCCCCGAGCCCCCCAAGTTCTCGCCTGGGGCACAGCAGAGTTGCCCTGTACTCCAGCACAAGTGAAAGAGGAGGTGCCCTGTGGCAATAAGTACTGTAAGCACTAGCCCATTGAGCTCTGGGTGGAAGCAGATCCCAAGCCCCATGTGCACCTTCTTGTTATTCTTCCCATCACGCCAGTGCCGTGCTTACCTCCGCGTGTCGTTCGTAGGCTTCACTCTCACCACCAGCCTGAGTAACTTGGCTGCGCAGCAGCGCACTTATCAGTGGAGGCACGCACCCCATGCTGCTAGTTACTGTTATAATCATGCAGCTGCATGTGCTACACTCCACATCTTCAGTGGGTAGCACTGCTTCCAGAGGGGAGGGGATTCCCGTTCCCCTGGAAAAGATCTCCTTAGTCAGCAAGAGCTGTGGCACCAGCAGGAATATTCCTCATTCCCTCAATACACTTCCCAGAGGAAGACGCCGGTGGAAGGGGGATGCTCAGCATCAACAGGATGCAGGACGTGCCAGGCTGCCACTGCCCCTGAGCTTGGTAAGTTTCTTGCATTCATCCTTGATCAGAGCTGGTCAGAAACATGCGGAATGTTTTTCCCTGCTGGCCCTAGGCTTTATGCAGATCCTGAGAACAGGGTGAAGGCTGAGGGTGCATGAGAATGAATGCATCTTCCCTTCCTAATGGAGGGGCCTGAATGGCATCCCAAAGCCCTTCACAAAAGGAGTGCTGAGGCAAATATGTGACAAATGCTCAGTAATAGCTAATGTGGTCTGTAGCCCTGGACATTAGATCTTATCCCTCTGGGAGAGGCAGGGTGTTTCTCAGGAGGCTGGCACCCTCTTCCTCTGTTCTTTTAAAAGAAGGACAGACGTCATAGGAGTAGGATTCCGTTTAAACATCTCATCCAAATGGCAGCATCTTTGATGGATCAGATATCAGAGTTACAAGAGTAACTTGAGAGTGGAATGACCTGCCTGAATAGGTAAATGAGACAGCGTTCCCAGAGATGTTTTAAAACATAAATGGGATAAAACCCATAAAGAACAAGTGCTTGTGAGCTGCAAGAGGCAACTTGGGGCTAAGATGATCTCCTGGCACCTGCCCTCTAGAATTGTATTGGCTACTGGGTCAGTTCAGTCTTGAACTCACACTCATTTGACCTAGAGGTAAAGATGTTGTCAACTGAGCAAGACTGACTCTCTCTTAAGGAGGGAAATGGGTATTGTAGTATGGGTGTGATATGAACGGGATTATTTATTTCAGAGATGAACACCCGAGGCAAATTGTAAGGATTTCTCTCTCCATCGCTCCTATTTTAAATCAAGTGGAAGAAGAAAAAAAGATATATCACATGCCTTATGGAAAGTGTGTGTGTGCTGGGGGGTCAGGGAACCATTAAGGAAAGACCCAGGAAAAGACCATTTATTTTGGGTGGGGAGAAAAAGAAGCTAACCTCAAAGGAAAGGGATTGAGCTTCATTAGCCTGCGGCTCCTGTCTGGCTGTGCGATTCCTGGCGTGTAATGGAGCTCTCCCTCTTTCAGTGAGACGTGACTTGGGGTAAGTGTTAAGTGTGTCTGATGCTGAGACGCATGGGAATGAAGTATACTGACGTTAGGGCTCAGATTGCCTCACCGCATCTCATGGGAAAACCCATGGCTGCACCTTAAGTTCTGTAAGCTTCCCCTCATGATTCCCTCTCTCTCAGTGGAGTGGCATGGCTTTCTTCCCCCTTGAAAGAATCAGGGGTTTGGCCCCACAACCTGACAGATCACCTTAAAATCTGCCTGGATCTTAGAGTCTGTTGTAGGCCCAGATCCTCAAAGGTACTTATGTGCCTATCTGCCTCTTTAGGCACATATGTCCACCGCTTAGGTGCCTACAGGGTTAGGTGGCCGCTGAGTGGTAGCTTTGAAAATGTCGCTGGAGCCTAAGTCCCCTAGATGTCTCAGTTTCCACCGGTTGGCATTCAGCAAAGCCACCAAAGCCCTGATGCCTCTCCACAGTGAACAAGCAGCTGGCTTGGCTTAAGTACCTAACTCCAGGAGAGGGTTCACAGCTGAGGATCTTAAGCAAAGGGCAGTATCTATCCCTGGGCCCATCAGTCACTCAGGTGCCTCTCCTCAGCATTTCACACCTGGCTAGCTTAGGCAGTGCCTCTCAGCTTGCTGGCTTCTGGGGAATTGGATCCCCTTCTTAGGCACCAACTCTCACTAGACAGCTGGTCACATTAGGTGTTGCAACATGGTGCAGAGCAGATCAATGCCTAAGCACTGTTGAGAATCTGGGCCAGAGATTCTGCCCCATCCCCACCCCCACCCTAATGTGCACTGGCTGAGCCATGTTGAAAACAGCTCCTGAAGAGGGAAGGGAGTTTCAGCAACATGGAGACCTAGACCCCTCCTTACCAAGATGAGAGACAGTGGTGTATCATGGAAGATGTAGTCCAATTAGGTAGCCTGACTATAGAGGAGAATGGGAGCATGACGTGTCCAGACTACAGCTCCCATTAGGCAACGTGTCAACATGTCAGAATTGAAATGTTTTCAGTTGAAATATATCAGTTTTGAATTTTTCACAGAAAACTCCAAATTTTCTGGGGGAACACTCTCTCTCCTCCCCCATTTTCTAGACCACTCTAGACATGATGTTTAAAACCAAACACTACAGCCCCTGTCTACACTGGCTTCTAAATTGTATTTAACATCATGCTCAATAACACCACTCCGCAAGGTCATGTTTCAACACAACCTCATTTTAGTCCCTTGGAGGGATTGCCAGCCTTTTCTCTCCACACCAATCCCAAGGCTTGTGTTTGCGACAATACTGGGCTTGATGCAGCAATTACTGGGTGAAATTCTGCTGCCTGTGTTAATAGCTAGATGATCACAAAGGTCTCTTCTGGTCTTAAAAATCAATCAATCAATCACTTGTGTTTGCTCAGAATAGAGGGGAATCTGTGCCCCATAGATTCCTTCTCCACAAGCAAAAGGCCATGTAGGGACATGTCAAAGATTTAAAAAATTATCAAAATCTAAAAATAATTACAATATTTTAAGGCCTCCTTCAGTCATAAACACCCTAAATATCAACCATTTTCACTTGCAAATACAAGAAACACAGTTATTTAAATGTGTCAAAACCATTTCTGTATAAAGGACACATTACAATTACTTTCTCATTTTGTTTTTTAACCTATGGGTTGTGTTTTTTTAAAACCATATTTTTTTTCGTATCAAAAAAGCAAAGCTGAATAGCAAGATTGCTAACAGGAATGTAGATGAGGACCATACAGTTCTGTTCTATGTCCCCCCAGGGGCATTATAATCACATTATAAAGCAGTTTTTATGTATGTAAAATAATTAACTTGTTTTTAAAAAGTTTGGGGTTTTGTAGCGTTAACTCTAACTTGGAGCAGATGTGTTGTACAGTGAGACACCCTATATTGATGGAGAGCCTGAGCCTGCAGCCTTCACTCAGGCAAAAAGCCCTTACACACATGGGGTGGGGGGAAATTCACCCCTCTGTAGAGCGCTGGCTACAGCTGGTCAGGAAATGATTTCTTCCCCCTGTGAAAAACATCAACTAAAGCAAAAACTTGCAGTGTGTCTAAATGTTTCTACAATTGTTTTTGTGGAAAAAAACCCCCCAAGAACGTAGTTTGGTTGTTTTACAACCCCTCCCCCTCAAATTATCCACAAAAATGGAAATATTTTCACATAAAAATCCATTTTGTCAAATGGACATTTCCTGTCAGAAAAGAGTCTCAGCACAACATTGTCAACACGCTCTACTGCCAGCACAAAGGCCTGTGCACCACTTAAATCCCTCTTCATCCGCGTTGGGTTTAAGCGGCATGTAGACCTGCAGGCCCTCTAACCAGGAGTGAATTTCACCTGCGATGAGAGTGCTCTGGTGAATAAGGGCTGCAGGATTGGGCTCATATTTACTACAGTTTTAAAATGCTTTTCCTCAACTCTAATAGGTTGTTGCCTGGTAAAATCTGGTAGCAAATGACAATACATGTGTAGCTTCCTGAAAAGCAAAATGGCTGCTGGAGCCTGCAGCATGCACATTCCTTTCAGAGAACTCTGTTTGGACTGTGTAAACAGGTCTCTTACCTCTCTGGACATGATTCAGCTTACCCTCTTCCAGTTGACAGTCTGTCACTTCCCCCTGGCAGATGGGTGAGTTAAGGCTTAGCCCTCCGGCCAAACCCCATATTACAGTCGTTCCCCATCTAGGGAATCAGCAAAACACATCCATAGGGAGCAACCCAAGTACTCAGTCTCTTACTGTTCTCTCTCCGGGCTCAGTAATCCCATCTGCCCCTCACTGGTCTCCCTGGAGGTGGAGGTTTCCAACCTGGAGACCCTTAACTATGAAGCAGCATGTCCTCTCTACCCCAGACTCACTTTACTCTTTCACCAGGCCACTCCCCACATGACTCCCTAGGCCAGGGCTTGATGGCCAAGACCCTCCCAGCAGGTCACTCAGTCATTTTCTCCAGACTCTGGAGAGTCTCCAGAGTTCCTGCCTCCACCCTACACTCTCAGTCCCACATGAGGAAGCTAATTTTCCCAGAATGCTTTTTGTTATAGGGCCAAGCCCTGGAACATTCTCCTCCATAGGGAGAATGAACCAAACTGAGATTCTGCCTGTCTTTTTGACCTAACAGATCACTGCCTACTCACTATAAAAATCATTCACTGAAAACCGGGAAAATGTACATTGCTGGAAACAGAATTAATAACTGAAAAACGCACAGGCAAAAAAAAAAAGAAAAAAAAGTATCAAAGTTATGTGTCTGATCTTTGTTCCATGAGCTCTTCTGCTTCAGACAGGTGTATTCCTAGCACCACTGCAGCTTCATGACATATTTTAGGAGATGGGAGGTTTAGCTGAAAATGTTGTACAGGGGGATGTTGCCACTCTGAGACAAAGAGGAAACTAGAACAGAGTTGGTGAAGGGACAACGGCTAGGAAGGTGGCTCGTTGTGATCATTGCTATTGTATGAATGAGAACTGCCAACATCCCCTTCTATTTGTTCCCCTGTTCCCCAGCTTACTCGCCCACCTGTTATATCTTGTCCTTTAAACTATGAGCTCTTTGGGGCAGGGATTGTCATGTAGTCCCTGGGTCTGGCCTTTAGGGGCTACAGTGATACAAATGTTTTATAATGATGTAGCAACAAAAGCAAAATGTGATCTCTCTCGTCCAGTATTATTAGTAATAATATCTGCACTCATCAAGGGGACAAAAGTACAACAAAATGGATTCACTGTGCTAGCGAGCAGC